CTGAATGAAACCAAAGCATAAAGCTTATAACAGGTTGTTATTCTGTTTCCAGGAAACCACTAAAACTCTATTTTTCTGCTCCTGTGGACGAGAAAACCTCTAAAGTTCAACTATTAAAAGACAAGAAGAAACTAAGATGCCATTTTCCTAAGAGTGAATTCGGGGTTTATGGGCAAGCCTGCATCAAACGACTGCCGATCATAGATCTCTCAACTCTTCCAAAGTGGGCTTCGAAGGAAGACTTGAGGTATGGCTCTGTCGACTGCAATTTACTTTATCTACAGCAAGATAGAAATTTTCGTGGTGATCCCAGAGGTCTTCAAATATATACAATAGGACAAAGCTTGAATAAAATGGAGGTTTTTTCCCTCAAAATTTTCTTGGCACACCATTATAGTTATCGAGACGTCACAAGTTTTTTTATCCCCATTCAAGTATTTTCAGTGATAATTTTCAAGCGAGGCATGTGAGCACCTTTAAAATTCATCAATTAAGATTGAGTCTACACACCTAAAACTCTTCAAGGTGGTTGTTTGTTTTGATATTTTGTCTTAAGTCTTAGCGTTCCTTTTTCTTCTTGGGTCATAAATAATTGCTTGCCGACGCAGAAAGATTTTGTGTACGCAGGTTACACCAACGAATCTAACACTAATGCTCAAAACTTCAGCTTTAGAAATTTACTTTTCCTCTCAAAACACTTCCAATTGATAATTACGTCTTTCACGTATCATCTAACAAAAGACAACAGTTTCCAGCCGGAAACTAATCGCTTAGCATTTAAATTAATGGGAGACAATCAACAACTAGGTATTTAATAGAGTGGTTTTATCTGTTTCAGTTTCTTGATGGTTTTCAATCAGATTGATGAGGAGGAAACAGGACCTCAGGACAGGACAGCATTTGAAGAGTTTCAAAATGCTTTACAGTGTGTTATCGCGTCTTTTGTCGAATATCCACAGGTAACACAAACTTTGAAACCTTCCTTTCATTTCGACTGCAAATCAAAGCATCGTAAAATTCCTTATTGTGTGTTTCGGCCATTTAAAATAAGCTTTTGTTTTACCCTTTACAGAAAAATATGTGTTTCACAATT